TTAGGCCAGTTTCTAATAAAGGGAACAGCGCAGGTTTCCCCTGGAGGCCTGTATTGCATGCTATTGTTTTAAAATAGACTAGATTTTAAATGTTTTATCCCTCCCCCCCACCTGCATTGGTAGGAAGAACAGGTGAGCAGGCGTTCCCCCAGTCCTCGCCTCCCTGCGGGAGCCAAACCTCATCCGGCGGGGAGGCGAGCCGCTGCCCCGGGCGCTGATCAGACTGTCGTTATTTACCTCTGCTGCGTTAGTGTTTCCTTTTTTTTCTTTTTCCTTTTTTTCACCATCCGATGTGAGACAGCTTGGCCCTTCTGGAATAACCTAGTGCAGCACTCGCTGGGGAGCTTCCTCGTTACTGTTCCAAAGTCGTATATGTGGGGGGTGGAGCACGGTGTATTCCAGCATGTTTCATTTTACGGTGAGGTTACTAGCTAGGTTTTAATGCCATTTGGGCAGTGTAAGCTTCTGCATCTCTGTCCTGCTAATCTTTACTTTTCCTTTCCCCTCTGCCTAAATCTCCACGTTTTTCTTACGAAATTTATATTTTGTAAAAGGATTCTGTTTTATCAGGAAATATTTTGCCTTCACACTGAATCTTAGACTGGCTGATTTTTTTTCTGCTTTCTGTTCGCATTTTAACCTCTCCGACATTTTATTTTATTTTATTTTATTTTTAACTTTCCATCTCATCCAGTCAGTCGCTGTTTGGGTTTTGGCACCATCAATATCAAATGTACAAACGGTTCTTGCTAACCAACACCAGGTATATCTGATGTTCAGATGAGTTCCAATAAAATAATTTTTTTTTCAAAAATCTGTCTCCTGTCTTCAGCTGCCGAGGCAGATAACGGGCACGTTTGGTGCAGTTTCTCTCTTCGCTTAGGGAAGGGTGGATTGCAACGCAAGCTGCACGCCTGGCCGGAGCTCACGACAGCATCGTTGGTGGTGATATTTCCGAGACACTGGGTGTGAGGGACCGTGTTTTAAGTGGCATCACTACAGATTTATGGATTGTGACCTGCTCCTGGTGCAGCAAGTTTGAGTTGCACCAAATGAAGTTGTTGTTATGATGAAAAACGAATTACATCTGGGCTCTTGCACCTCCAGCCTTTCTTGAAAATACTCTGATGCTGTATTGGAGGGTCTCACATTGTGTACAGGGCATAGATTCCTCTTAAGGCTGGAGGGGGTTTTTAGGGTGTAATTGAACTGATACAACATCTTTAATTTCCATGGCTGAAACTCGCGCATCTCGGACGCCACCTGGTCGAGGTGGTGCAGGTCTTCTGGAAAGAAGCCTGGCCTCAGGCAGAAAAATGTGCAGGGCTGAACTCCTGCTCTTACGCGTGGCTTGGACTGCAGGGGAAGTGCATTTCTAGTTTTCTTATAGGTTTTTTTTGAACTATAAATAGCTCCTAAGATACTTCCCAAAAGCAGCTCTGGCCAGTTCGCCATAATGCCACTGAAGCGGTGTTTTCCCCGGGGATGCTCAGCCGTGGACATGATTTGCTGATTTAAGTTGCTACTCGTAGGTGAACGAGGGGAAATTCGGTCACGGGAGCAGAGCTGCAGCCCGGGTGTGCAGTGGTCACGGTCGCACGCGAGGTGCTGAGGTGGAGATGGCCGCGAAGCCCTGCGTGTCCTCGTCGAGAACGGTGTCCAGCTCTGGCTGTCGTCCCTCAAAGGGGACAGAATCGGTCCTGACCCAGCAGGTGACGACGGGGGGAGCAGACAAACCCCTGTGCCGGAGGCTGAGGAGACCCGAGCGGGAGCGAGGACGATGTAGCGGGGCCGCAGTGCCGCTGGCTCGGAGGTGGCTGGGCTGCCTTGTGCGGGGCCAAGGAGGTTTAACTGCACGTTAGTCGTCCAAACCGCCTGTGGAAAGCCGGGATTTTCCGAGGCGTCTGAGCGCCTGCCTTCCGCCTCCAAGTGTATTAAAATTGGGGCCAAAAAAGCTCAAATGGTAGGGCTTGGTGTTAAACCTTTTTGGCTTAAACTTCAAAAGGCTTAACTTAAAAAACGGCCTTTTGCACAAAGGAGTTTCCTGCTGCTTGGGTCCGTGTAATATTTTTAATGGACTGAGGGATTTCTCAGCGACAGCAGTGCCGCTGGGGCTGGATGCGGATCATTACGCAGAAAAGCCTCTAAAAGCTGTTTGTAAAGAGGATGTACGAAGAGGAGACCTTTCCACCACCCTTAAAAAACCAGCTCCCGCACTGGGTTGGATGCGCTTCGAAGGACACGCGGGTTTTTGGGTGCTTTGGGACAGGTCTGTCCTCGCAGCGTCGGCACGGGGTCGGTCCTGAGCTGTCTCCGAGAGCTGCCCTTGAACCGGGACCGTGGCGCGTGGGGACGGGCAGGTTTTCAAGCCCTGCTCCGTGTTTCAAACTGCTGAGCATCGGCTCCACAGCGCACGCTGCTGAGAAACCCCCTGCCCCAGCTTGGGAGGGGGAAAAGATGGACCAGAGCATCTCCCCGGTTTTTACTGCGCATCTGCAGCCCCACCCTGCAC